TTTTTTTCCAGACTTCATTCAAACCTGACAAAAGGATTTGGTATTATGGGTCCGAAAGAGTTCTTTCCTTTGCTCGATTTTGCTTTCATGCCAAAGAACGCCCTGTCATCAAGGTAAATGTGTAAACCAGTGCAAACACAGACCAACAGCAAGACGTATCAGACTGTTCATAATCTCTGTTTAGAAATAAAAGCATTGCAAAAATGTTATCTGCGTTCTGAGTCCTAATATATTTTTTTCTGTTTTTTATTACAGTCTGCAGGAGCAGCTGAGGCGTTTGTATCCTCGACTGAAGGTCCTCGCATTTGGAGCCAAGCCAGAGAACACATTGCACACGTACCTGCCGTCATTTCTGTCCAGAGCCACGCCACACTGTCCTGACGACATGAAGAGAGAGGTGACACCCACAATTCTGTATACATTACTGCTGCTACTGTACTGTTACAGCAGCCATCACAACACAATATTTGACAAAAGTGATTAAATAAACGAGAACGGCTCAATAAAATTGTGTTCTCACTAAACGATATCAAAGAATACATTATGAGTAAAATGATAAAAATTAACCTCATTGTCTTCTGCTTCTTGCAGCTGCTCAGCAGTATGACTGAGTGTCTGTGTGTGGATGTTCAGAGTTTAGGAGTGTGGAGGCAGCTCTACACCAAACACCTACCCCAGTCCAGGTAACCTGTGGACCATTTATTTTTTAGTCTTTTTATTTATGATCACATCTCCACATAAGGTAAACTGTACAAATGAAGATGATTTCAAACTGATTTCAGACTCACTGCTTTCTTTCCTCAGTTTACTTTTGAACCACTTATTAAAGTCCTGGAACATCCTTCCACCAAAGGTACAAGTGCTGTCACGATGTCTCTTGGCTCATAAACCAAACGCACCTACCAGGGATACTTTTATTTAAACATCAAAGCCTGTGTAACCTGATTAATAATGCAGTTTTAATGTAACTTGTATTTTTATTGTCTTTTAATCCCATCACAGTGTTTTACTTGGACTTTTTTTTTAGCTTAGCAAGAAACAAGAGCAAACGAACCAGTCATTTAGAGTGACCAACGAAGAAATGAGAGACACCATTGAATCTCATGACCTTCAGGAGTGCAACAGCCTGTGCCAGGTGAGCAACTCAGCCTGTTCATGTTTGTTTAAAAGGAAACTCACGATTTCAAAAAAGTCTGGGTTAGACACGAAGATAGTGTAATATTAAATCATGAACCACCTCCACAATATGAAAGTGAGCAATATTTATAAAGTGCTGACAGAAGGCATAAAAAGCTTAAAAAATTAAGATATAAATTTAGGAACTAAAACTAAAGGAAGGAAGAGAAGAATATTAAATTGAAAGCCTATTAAAGAGATCAGTAGTGTTGTGATATTGGAAGAACTGTTTTGGGACTTACTGGGTAGTTTCCAAGCATTAAGGGCAGAGTTACTGAACTGATGAACCTGGTGAGTTGCAAATGTGAGTACTGGAGAGATGAATGCATGAATGAGCATGTGCAACTCCTCTTTAAAAACTTCTTCTGACATTATCCCTGCTTCTTGGGTAACAACTAGAGATGTATGGAATCATAAAGCTAACACTTGGATTATGAACCTTATTTGACTTCTGCTTTGTGATTCTCCAGAATCTGCAGGTAAAGATGCGTGGTCACGGGTTCCCCTGGTCCAAGCTGCTCCTGGTTTTGCTCGTGTTTGTTGCCGGCTTCATCGCCCATGACGTCAGATCAAACGGCTCTGTCGCAGGTCTGTCAGAGTGCCGTTTACTCACCATATTCGCCTATCTTTGTATCTGTGGCCTACTCATTGTGTTTATATTACGTTTCAGATTCCATCACAGCCAGGTATCTGCACTCCTCAGGGATCACAGCTGTATCTCAGCAGGCCTGGAGCAAAATAACAGTCTACTCAAAGCAGGGCTTCAGGTACGATCATTTCTAGTCAACAGAGCCGACACTTAAAAATGATCCCTAAAATCTAAAACAAGCTTCTGACTCACTTCCTGATAACGCTCAGGCACACAGTGTTTTATTCCCTGTGATTTGTTGGCTTTTATTTAGAATACTATATTAATATAACTTTATTAGATTAACCTACTGTTCTGCCATAAAATTATTTGCTTTTAAAAAGAAAATTAAAAAAAATTTATGACTTTTTCTTTTCTTCCATTTTCCCTCTAATGAAGATTGCAGTTATGATCATTATTGTCTGTATTGTGTGTTTATGTTCTGTAGCTGGTTGGAGACAAACACTCCTTATTATTACTCTGAGTGTGTCCGGGTTTTGGGTCCAGTAACAGAACAAGGTTTGGAAAAGGCAAAGTCAGCAGCTGTCTTCATCTCTGAAAACACCTCACGGTTTATTGTCTGGGTTAAAGAAACCACACCTCTTGTCATAGAATGGGTAAGGCCATGGCTACAGCTCCACTTGACCTCAAACATTTAAATGTTGAAGTACAATTTTTTTTTTTTGGGTGGGGGGGGGCTGAAGCACAGCTTTCTGGGTGTATATTAAACAGTCCAGCTGGATTATCATTTCATCCCTTTGTGGATTTATTTGTGTTTATACTATGTCACTTTTCCCCCCTTAATTTAAATTTTGAGCATTACATAAGAAACTACCAGATAACCCCAGTCTGACTCTGATTGTGTTGCATGTCTTTGTCCAGGTGAACACCAACACCCCAGAGAGTGTGTTCCAAGCTCTGGCATATTTGAAGGAGCTCCTCATCTTCCTACATCAAAACTACATCCTGCCAGCGCTGGCGTACACATCTAACCTGCTACAGAGAGCATGGGCCAACTTAGAGGACTCTTGCAAGTCAGTACTAACAGCAGCTCTTTAACAGTTAATCTTTATTACTACATGCCTGAGTGTGGGGCAGTTAAACTGGCTGGGACTGGTTTCACAAAGATGTATTTGGTCTATAGGGTTAAACAAGAAGAACAGCACAGCTTGTATTAGAATAATCTGACTAAAATGAAGACACCTTACCTCTGACCTGACTAACTATAAGAATCTGTGGCACTGCTGCAACAATGATTTAACTATGAAGCCCTCATTATGGTGCTTGTTGGGATGAAACGTGATTCACCTTTACTTATTGATGTGTTTTATTGAAGCCACTGAGAAATGCGTGCAGGTTACCAGTTGCACTGACAGATGTAGTGACATGCCAGTTTATCCTGCTGGAGTTTGGACCTCGTTCCTATTTGTTCTTTAAAGGGAGTTGCTCACCAGAGTTTTTGGCAGATCTTTGTAGGCTTTGTCGGTGTATGTTTCTCCTATTTGCACAGCACCGTCACAGCACCACACACATTTCACTTCTCAGCAGTGTGTTCTTCTTCTGTTAACTGGAGCCAGGTAGTTGCACCCTGCTGATAAACAATTGGACTATTTTTCCATTCATTCATCCTCTGACAACTGTCCAGGTCTCGGTTGTGAGGGCAGCAGTCTAAAGTAGAGATGCATCAGTGGCCATTTCCTTGGCTGTTGATAACCTCTGAGGTGATTGACAGATGAACTCTGTAACGATCTGTCAATCTCCTGCTCTGTATACTCATGAACAAGACCCTTAGAACGAGTTCATAAACTGTGGAGCAGACCGCTAAGGCCTCCACCTCTGACCACCAGATCCATGTAACACTGGATCCCTGCTGATGTGGCCCATTAGGGCCCAACCACCAAGGTGCTTGATTTAAGAACCTCTAATGCAGGCCTGGCTTAAATGTAAGCGGCATCATCATCGATTAGTCTGTATCATCTTCTCTTCGCGCTGAATCTGACTCCTCACCAGGGATAATTTTGCTTTGTAACTCTAAATTATCAGAACCATTCTGAATCACCAGGGAGTGCAATGGTGGCGATTTATGGAACAGTGGATTATTACTATGTAATCCCCCCCCCCAGCAATTTAACAACTATGTAGATATTTGAAAATCATGAGCATTTCCACAAATTGTCTCGCCTGTTATTTAAACCAGTTAAGAGTAGTGTAGTAGCCAAATGTGTTTGTTTGTATTGTTTAAAAAGGAACTAAAAGCAATTAAAGCTGCAGTGAGTGATTTTTGACTTTCTCTGTTGCAGTGGGGAGGTGTCTGTATCATGTCTGCAGGGCCACGCCTTGTCCTTTACCAACTCGACGTGGCAGCTACTCCAACACACGACCTCGGCAATCAAGACATGGGCCCAGGATTTGCTCACTCGAGCGGGATAACGCAATACACACACAATATGCACACAGGAAGCTAAACACACCAACACACACACTCTGGCCCAGCGTGAGTCTGTCATGTCCTTTGTGACGCAAGTGGATGCCGCAGGGTCAGAGGGAAACAAGCTCACTCAAAAAAGACCCTTTTTGTCTCTTATTTTGGTTAAATTTTAAAATCAGTTTGGTGTTGTTTAGATGTTTGTTTTTTTCTATCAGCCTTTTTGTCACTGCTGGATACGGAGGTCGTACCCTTCTTTCTCTCTCCCTGAGTTTTATACTGCAAATTTCAGCCACTGCTTGAGCCTCTGGGTTAAGCAGGTTCTGTAATTTATAGAAAATATAGGTTTGTAGATGATTTATAAAACGTTTTTATTTAAATATAATAAAAAAAAAAAAGTGTTGTGAAAGTTGGTAAAGGTGGAGAACATGTCAGAAACGTCTCCAAGCCACTGAAAATCTCATCAGAGGGTCAAGTCATCTTTAACACCTGGTCCTGTGTGTGCAAACCCTTTGTCATACCTAACTAGGGAGTTGTGTCTCCGGGTGGATTTGCTCGTCCTGAGCACGGTCGTAAACACAGTCTTCTCACATCAGTCCAGAAGAAAAAAATCTGTGTGTCTCGTCTCTGCTGCTTTGTTTCTGTCCCGTTTTCTAATGCTTCACCTACCAGCAGAAGCTTCTCGCCCGAGCTGCGAGAAGCACCGACATCATGTACCTGAAGGTCAATGCGTTTCTGTGTTTGTGTCTGCGTGGATCAGTGATGCCAGCGTTGTCATCCTGTATGCTGTAATCTGAGAAATGCCCTCCTCTGGACATTTTACTTAACTAACCCCCCCACCCTGTGAACAAGATGATATGGAAGAGACTAATGTCTTACTTTGTAATGTAAATGATTTGTAATAAAGACTCCAACCCCACTGCAGTGTTTTTATCAGCTGATTTACGCCAGTGTGCCATGAGCTACAAAGCAAATAATAGAAACCACCTTGTTAACAGTTGTCTTGTCATGACTTGGGGCTTTGCCCTCAAACTTCAATTTTGCATGTGCATGTTCTTATTAAAATATAATTATTAGATATGTGTATTCAGGGTCATCTTAAGAAGAAACAAATTTGTCTCACCACGTATTAATATAGATCAAGATGAGAAGAGGACCCTGGGTGTGTATTTTTAGTCAAGTGTTGCTGACTCAGCAGTCCTCTTAAAAACGTATCTTGTCCCAGTAAATCAATGTTTTCCTCTCGCATGCTTAGTAGCGCTGCCGGTTATAGACAAACACTGTGGGGAGATGATACTATCCCCTTCGATAGCTCAGTTGGTAGAGCGGAGGACTGTAGAGGAGTGCGATAGACATCCTTAGGTCGCTGGTTCAAATCCGGCTCGAAGGAGGTGACACTTTTTTTTTTCTTCTTCTCTCACGGTGTTCAAGCGCAACGATCGAATACAGATTACACGGTAGATACGGTTCATTAGCCGAACCAGCACCATTGCCAGCAAGCCAACAGATTGTTGGCTATAGCCCAACCCGATTACATAGATATATATTTTTATCAGGTTGCGAAACAGCGCACATAAGGGGGATTAGCTCAAATGGTAGAGCGCTCGCTTAGCATGCGAGAGGTAGCGGGATCGATGCCCGCATCCTCCAAACTTTTGTGTCTCGTCGATGTGGTTGGCGTGAGTTTGTTTTAACTCTCAAGTTGCAAAATGCAACCAACCAGACCAACTAGAAAATATAGTTATTTTAAAAATTGGTCATTTTTGGCGGGGAGCTGAGACACAAAACATAAAGAAGATGCCAATGTCACATTTACATTTTCACGAACGTTTTTGCGACGAATTTCACTGAAATCAATTCGGTCGACACTTCAAACTTAGGCAGTCTTTGTATAAGCTAAGGTCCCTGCTGTCAACACGTTATCACCTTCAAAGCCTAACATTTTAAGCTAGGTGACAAATCGTCGATATCTTACGCTTCCGGGGACCCAACATCAGCAAACAAGAGAACCGTTTCGAATGAATATACACATGCACACTCGTTTTACTTACATCTCTTTGGTAAACACTATATAACATGCTGGTTAATGTTAGGGATAAGATTATGGTTAGGGTTTGGGATACAGCTAGGACTGGAATACATGGCTGGAACGTGTATTACCACGGGAGCGTCATTGTACTGGATTTCATTGATAACCCGGCGCGTAGCATAAGAACGCGGAAGCTCACCTGACGCGCTCCTCCGGAACATCACAGGACTTGACAAATCGTCAGCATATCACGGGTTGGTACTGCGAACGGGTTGTTTCTGAAGCCTAGGGGGATTAGCTCAAATGGTAGAGCGCTCGCTTAGCATGCGAGAGGTAGCGGGATCGATGCCCGCATCCTCCAAAATTTTTTCTGACGCGTTAAAATATTTTAAATAGAGCATTTTAAATATTCATGTGATTTAAAACTGTTTATTGTTTATGGAGAGTAATACATTTTAAGAGTACCAGGTAAATCTGTAAAGCAAACAGGAACTGATTGATTAATGAATTTTTCTATATGGTAGTGTATATTACTGAAATATGAAGTTGATATAAACAGAACTTTAAATAAATCACCCTAATTAGTAGAATGAAGAAACGACCTGAAATAGAGAATAAACGTATTTGTATGCTTATGACTCCCCGATAGCCGTAGATGTGTCTGTGCTGCCGCCTGGAGGCACAAGAGAGAAGATACATCTGCAGCTTCAACGTTTTCTTTAACACTAATAACTATGGCAGAGCACTGAATGTATAGAAGGTGGAAAGAGAGGCATTACTATAAGATAACTGTGAGGTAGCTTTTTATCATTTGGTAAAAAGTGCAAATGTAATCAAGCGCACATGAAAAATTAACTAACTTTAGAACTTTTTGTATTAAACTGTGTAAAAAGTTTACTTGCATTGACTTGATATTCTGTGCATGGCGTTTACAATGACTAAAAAGTTCATGTGAGAGACAAGACAAAGAAGACAAAGAAGTCCAGACGCTTTTTCTTTCCAAGCTCCTTAGACTACAATAACCTGGATGACTGAGAATCTTCACAAACAACAAGACAAGACGGCGCAACACTAGACAGAACAGGACAATACAGAGACAAGACGGTGCAATGGAAATGTGCAAAATACTAAGAATTGTGCAAAAAGACACTTGGTGTCTGAAGCTGTGCGTGTGTGGAGAAGCAATCCCAGTTCAAGGTCCACATGCAATGTGTTTAGACTCAGCACTGTGCTTATACGGATGTCTCCCTATATTGACATTTATCACTCTAAAACAATGGAGGAGTGAACCAGTCACAATTAAACAAAGACTTAAACTAGATTTACTGCCTGCTTCATTAGTTTTTCTTTTTAACTGCCTGTCTCTTCACAATGGAGGAGTTAAGCAGTCACTATTAAACAAAGACTTATCCTACACTAGGATGTATCCTACATGAATGTATCCTGAATGTATCCTACATGAATGTACGATACATCAAGGAGGCCATTTACGTGAAAAGGGAAAGACCATCTCTGAATCGAGGAGGGGGCCTAAGGGTACATCTTTCGCCATCTTACAATGCTGTGATTGCAGCCATTCCCCAACTCTCTGTGAATGGTACTCATGGCCATTGATCAGTGGGTTTTGGTCAGTGGTTGTTGATCAATGGTCAAGAGAATTTGCATAATTATGATGAAGGAACTGACCTCCCAGCCCATTGTTCCTTCAGTGAGCTGGTTTCAGTCATTATGCAAATGTGCTGTTTATAAGATTTGGGGAAACCTGCAGTCAGCTGAGACTGAAGAAGTCACTTGGATGAGTGACGAAACGTTTCTCCCACAAAACGCTACGTCCAGATGAACAGAATCAACTTTTGGAGATTTACTTTCCTGGATGATTGAGGATGCATCAAAACTATCCTACACTAGATTTACTGCATAAATCAATGGCCTTTACAATATTTGAAAAGTTCATGTGACCAGGTACCCCTACTAGAACCTAAATGTCATGAAACTACTTTTGGAAAGAGGAGCAATCCCAGTTCTAGGTTCATAAGCAAAGCCCTAGTGTGTCTGTACTCAGGACTGCATATGTGCAACTCTGAAACACCACAGATCATGGGACCTGTGTAAGTTGCAAGCAGAGGGGGATTAGCTCAAATGGTAGAGCGCTCGCTTAGCATGCGAGAGGTAGCGGGATCGATGCCCGCATCCTCCAAAAGGCCGTACCTTTAAGGATCAACACAAAAACATTTATTTTCCACAATAAACAAATGTTCAACTGTGTTCAGTTACCCCTGGTTAAGTAAGGTTACACTCGAAGGAAATGCTATCCCAGTTCAAGGTCCACATGCAATGTGTTTAGACTCAGCACTGTGCTTATACGGATGTCTCCCTATATTGACATTTATCACTCTAAAACAATGGAGGAGTGAACCAGTCATCATTATGCAAATGTGCTGTTTATAAGATTTGGGGAAACCTGCAGTCAGCTGAGACTGAAGAAGTCACTTGGATGAGTGACGAAACGTTTCTCCCACAAAACGCTACGTCCAGATGAACAGAATCAACTTTTGGAGATTTACTTTCCTGGATGATTGAGGATGCATCAAAACTATCCTACACTAGATTTACTGCATAAATCAATGGCCTTTACAATATTTGAAAAGTTCATGTGACCAGGTACCCCTACTAGAACCTAAATGTCATGAAACTACTTTTGGAAAGAGGAGCAATCCCAGTTCTAGGTTCATAAGCAAAGCCCTAGTGTGTCTGTACTCAGGACTGCATATGTGCAGCTCTGAAACACCACAGATCATGGGACCTGTGTAACTTCCAAGCAGAGGGGGATTAGCTCAAATGGTAGAGCGCTTGCTTCGCATGCGAGAGGTAGCGGGATCGACGCCCGCATCCTCCAAATGGGTGTTTCACTTTAAACCTCATCCTGAAAACATTTAATTTGCCGAGTGAACAAATCTCTTAAATCCCTGTGACGAGCTACCCCTACCAGACCTTACTGTTACTGGGCTTTCATTAGTACGTCACGACACTCAGGAATGTATTCTTCACAGAAAAAAGCAACGTAATCTTTAGCCATCACCAATGGGCGATTGATATAGTCTGACAAATAATAACAAATGCGTCTTGATATTGTTTGAGTGGCACACGTCATTGCATTGGGATCTTGCTACAGCACAAGACACAGGTAGCACGCTCGTTTGGCATGCGAGAGGTAGCGAGATTGATGCCCGCATCCTCCAAAAGGCCGTACCTTTAAGGATCAACACAAAAACATTTCCTTTCCACAGTAAACAAATGTTCAACTGTGTTCAGTTACCCCTGGTTAAGTAAGGTTACACTCGAAGGAAATGCTATCCCAGTTCAAGGTCCACATGCAATGTGTTTAGACTCAGCACTGTGCTTATACGGATGACTCCCTATATTGACATTTATCACTCTAAAACAATGGAGGAGTGAACCAGTCACAATTAAACAAAGACTTAAACTAGATTTACTGCCTGCTTCATTAGTTTTTCTTTTTAACTGCCTGTCTCTTCAGAAATTGGCACATTGTTAGTACATCACCTGCTGAACTTTCCACTTCCATTGATGTCAATTTGCATTAGCC